TGTGATCCTTGTTAGCCGTCCCCCTACCGAATTATGCCAAGTGAAAATGTTTGGCAAAAATGTGGCACATGAAATACTTGTCTACCCAGTTTTGAACATTAGGTATTTAAAAAGTTGTTGGGCAAACTTTCAAATTAAATACTCCGAGCTTAAATTGTGCGAGCTCCCCTGGCTCACGATATACCATACATATTATATATTTTTTGAGAGGGGGCCACGAGGATTTCCGGGGGTCCTGGCAGCACGGCCTTTGGTACTTGATGCTTGGCACAGTGCATTCTCCTCTCATTTATTGCATTTTGCATGTGTAAAGAGCGTTTTTATTATTTCGCCCACGTTCAGGATGTGTGAAGAGCACCAAATTAAGGATGCTGAATTCTGTCTGCGAGAAGTAATTAAAATTGTGAAGAAAGCCATAATGCGAGTGTTTACATTTGAGAACTGCCCAACTAAAGCGAGTTGAGCACCCGGCAAAGTGTTTTAATTGAGAGCTTAAGTGTTATTCTTGTGCCCCCCGGCAAGTATTCTAATATATATACTCGTGTGTTGATAAATTTTGTGCTGCGAACCGAAATGAAAATGAAAATAGGAAAATTCAAATGCAAATGCAAATGGCAGGCCGCCTGGAATGAGATTAAAAATGCATGACATCAATTATAAGAAGTTTTCTTAATTTTCTTCCGCCCATAACTCACATCGGGTTTTCTCACAGCAACTTTTTTCCTGGCGAGAACCGAACAACTCGAACAACTCGACAAGGGCAGACGCACATGCACACATTTTCACAGAGAGCACATTTGTTTATTCCTCGATTGCGTACAAACATTTGCATTTGCATAGACAAGTTAAAAGCATCTTCTCGCCTCAGCCTGCCCGCCAAATCCCTAGGACACTGAAAGAAAATCAAGGCTAATTCGGATTTTTTATATAACTATTCAAAATATTGAAAAAGAAAAACATAATCGGCTCTGTTCTAGTTTTCACTTCCAAAAGATTCACACAGAATCGAATTTCTCAGACCAATCAGAAAAATTTGTATACTAAGAGTATTATTCGTGAAATAAGTGTTAAATATTAATATTTTTATGCTTCGAGCATTATTTGTTAATGAAAATTAAGAACACTTTTTGGGAATCTATAAGAAATATTTTACTTGAAATATGTAGTTTACATAAGGGATTATGAGTTAAGAGATCCCAATATTAACAATCATGCAAACAATAAAATATACTTCTTAATGTGAAATTTTTAAAATATTTAAAAACATTTTTGTTTTACAAAGCGTTTAATCAAAATACATTTTTATGGATTAAAGGACACTTTCAAAAGTTTTTTATAACTGCACAAGCGAAGGACCAGAAGCAGGAGCAGAACGAACTTCCTGCTGCCTGAATGCGTCTGAGTCAATGCAGCTGCCGCTGCAAATGTGTGGAAAAACTCCGGCCACCCCCTTTTCAGCATGCGAGATTGCAGATTTCATATGCAAATTTTGCACTTCTTCAGAAAATTATTCAAATTACTTGCGAGCGACAAGCGCAGCTCGGCAGAAAGTCCTTGCTCGTTGTTGGCTTTTATCCTGGCGTGGATATAAACAAAGCACCTTTTCCTTTCCGTTTTTCCGTTGGCCAAACAAGTCAACAGCCTTGGCCGTTTGACAGTCAGCCATCGATGGCAAATCTTTGCTCGAGGTACAGAAGGAGGAGTAAATGTTGGCCCATCAATCAGGCAAAATGGTAAATGGCGGGTTCATGGCTTGTAATCCCTTAATATTATTAAATAATTAACACGCATTGCTGGGCTTGTTTATGGCAGCTTAGCGACCGGAAGTGATGGGGCCAAGACTTTCGTCTTCCAGGATTTGGCCATCAAAAGATAAACGCAATTACGGAGCAGTTTTGAGCCATTTTGGAGAAAAGACAAAGCAAAAAGCCGCGAAACATGCAAATTAGCGTGGCGGCGAACGAGTTAAAGTTCGCTTTTGAAACGAATTTGCATATTTAAATGGCATTTTGCTCCAGACACTTGACAGTCTAACTGGCAGTTGGCAACATTCAGTGCTTCAGCCCTTCGTCCTTCGTCCTTTTCCTCATCCTGCTCCTGCTCCTTGATCCTGTCACTCCACGGCGACGGTGACAGTCGGTGCCTCGTCACGTTTCTGTTGGCTCATAAAAGTGAGATTGAATTTTGAACGGGGTGGCCTGTCCCACGAAACTCTCCGCTGATTCGGAATTGCCTTAACTTTCTGCCATCCTATCCAGGGTGTCTGTGCCTAATAGGCCACATGAACTTGAACCCTGCCACGAGGCGATGATGATGACTTTGATGATGATGATGACGAGGAAACGAAATTGTTGCACACGCGCAGGGACAGCAAGTTAAAGTGAAAGTGTGGCTGAAAGTTTCTGGCGAAAGCGGAAGTCATTAACATCTGCTCGGAGTTGATTTAGTGTGTGTTGTGGAATTTTATTTATAACCAACTACTCATCAGCAGATTTGGGTTCGGGTTTCACTGTGCATAATGAAGTGCGATGGCGGATTTATTTCACGGCCCCAAGCGATTTAATCAGGCGAATCGAAAAAGTTTCAACTTACCTTTCAGAGTGCAAAGTCAGGAAGCTACGGTTCAGATTTAGACAGTTTTGCTTTGGGCTATGCACAGAAAAAAAAATCGATATTAAATTGGGTCTACTCTACCTTATTTCATGTCAATATGATATGATTTATGTTAAATTTATGATTCAAACATATCAACATGATAATTTAGTATTTTTTGGGGAAATACTGATAGGAAAAACATAATAATAATAGGATAAACATAATCTTTAACAAGTTTTAAATTGACCAGCACATATCAATCTGATCTTTTGTGAAGTTTTTTTCTGTGTGGTAAGTTAATGTATGGAAAGGGAAAGGAAAATTACAAAAGCAGGCTTTTCAAAATCGCTTATTAATAAATACAGATTCAGATACCAAATAAACAACTAATTTAAAAGCCAAAGTGTAATCTACATACGAAAAATAGTGTGTTTCATATATGTGATCCATCCCCCCTTTCTCACTTATTTAGCTTTCACCTTTGGCTGTGATATACCTGAATTAATGGCCATCAATCAATGTTGAAAATTTCGAAATTATGTCATTTCCCCCAAGCGGTTTGGAAAACCACCTCAAACCACCTGAAACCCCTGAGAGCACAACCGAAAAATTGAGGACGAGCGCACAAATCAATTGGCATTCAGATTCGCAGCGGAGAGACGGGATGTTTGATTGACACAACGCTAATTGGCGACCATTCGGGTTGTCCATAATGCCAGGATTAGCAGGCTTCCACGTGTGTGCGTGTGCATTTCATGAGTCCTTGTGGGTGGTAATCAGAAGAGCTGACATTTTGTCCTTTTTCCAGATACATTCCGGATTTTTAATGAGCTCTGATTTGTGAAACATAATAAGGAAAGAATATAAACACCAATTAAGTTTGCTTAAAAAACAGTTTAAATATTTATGTTTACTTTTTTGAAACAAGTTCTAGTCAAATAACTTAAATGATATTTTTTAAATCAGAAAAGAATATATTTCAATTAAAATCATTTGGTTTAAATATGCGAAAATGAAATCAATTCTTTCAGTCATTAGCTGATTATCCTTTTTTCTTCCGAAAATTATCCTGACTTTCTGAACTGACTGATGGGCAGAACTGAAACTGAGCCAACTCGCATGTGGGGAGACGACAGCATCCGCTTTGCCCTTAAGTCGACTTTAATCCCTGGCGCTAAGCACAAGACTCCAGAAAATCAAATCAGAAACTTGGGCCATAGTTTGTTGGCCAAATAAATCACGCAGCCAAGCCACCGAGAGCCCGGCAATCGAAAATCGAAGCAGACAGTTGACAAGGACGGGGAATGCACGCAATGATAAATCGAAAATATTTTCACTTGTTTACACAAAACAATTCGGGACGACAGACAAACGACTGAAAGCTTGACAAAAATGTCCGACATCTTTCCCCTAACTTTTCCTTTTGACCAGACCAGCACTCAATAAAAAGTAGCGCAGACTCCTCCAACCACCAGACGTTGTCTCTTGCACTGGAAGAAATAAGTCTAAGGATTATTAAAAAATTCAAAATTAAAGTTTACTGAATTCTGCTAATTTTTTTTTAGAATAATAAATATATAAATAAATTAATAAAGTGGTAGAGTTGTATTTTTATTTTGTTCATGAGAACCAGCACTGTTTTCTCGTCTGCATGTTAAATTTAAAGTAGACTTTTAACTCTAAGGTCCGTTTTCTGATACGCATGTTAAAGTACGCTTTAAACTCTAAATTTCCATATGTTTGCTACGTTTTATCCTGACTTTATATTTAACACGCGGACGACAAAACAGAACTAAAGGTTTTCAAGGCTATCCCCATTTTAAATTTAACATGAGTGTAAAATATTTTATGAAAAAATTTATATTAAAATGAACAAGATTTGTTCGTTTCTTTTTATAAAATGTCTTATATTATTAATTTTCATTAAAAATTGTTATATTATTTTTTTTCCTAAAAAAAATTGTCTTAATTTTTCTTAAAATATTTTTTTGACTGCAGGCGCAGCTCCGTTTAATGAACGAACAAACAGCCGAGCCAACGGAGGATTACGCTGCCAATGGACAGTGACTTGCACCACTGCCCCATCCTGCCATGCCGCCGTCCTGCCATCCTGAATCGAGTTGGGTAAACAACTTGCGCGTCCTTGTCCACTTTTGGTCCTACCACCCCACCTCCGCCCCCTTCAAGTGTTAATTGTGTGCGTGATTTAAGCTTTGTCGGGGGGCAGGAGCAGCAGTCGGGATCCCGAGCCACCCTCTTGACCATTTCGAATAATTGCTTTTTGATTGAGTTCAATTCTGCGAAGGCTTTCCTCCGCGCCCAACTTAAATTTGAATGTCCAATATCTTGGCACCCGTCGAGCGAAGAGCATCTAGAATATATATTTTTCGTTCTAAACTTAAGTGATGTTCTACCCACTGGAACTTCCTAGGCCCCGTCGGCCACTTTACAGGGATTATGGAGGAAAATCGGGACTCATTCAGACGCAGCAGGTTACCAAGGATAGAAATCGGTTGGGAAAACTTTGGACATTTTTTCTGCCCTATCTCAAGGATTACGCCGCAGAATCCTCGGTGCATGGCATACGATATCTGGCTGATCCCAAGATGAGGAAGTTTGAGAGGTGAGATCAGGATTAAGAAAACTTAAGTATATTTATCTTTTATTTATTATATGTATCACTAGCTCGATAACTTAAATTAATTTTATTTGCTACCAAAAACTAACTTTATTTTTTTTAAATTGTGATACTAAATTAAAGGAAATTGTGCAACATCAACATATTTTTGAAAACCCCTCCACTAATATTAATACTTTCCATAAAAATTAATTAATATTTCAATTTATGAGTTTAGGCTAATCTGGCTGCTGATTCTGATAACCACTAGCATTGGTGCCATTATGGTTTACGTGGACCTGAGCGAACTCTATCAATCGGTGCGTATTCAGACCACCATTAAGAACACCATGCTCCCGATATTCCGGGTGCCATTTCCCTCGATTGGCCTGTGTGTGAGAAACCGCCTGAATTGGAAACTCCTGGAAAACGGGGCAGCTGAGCATTTTCTGGGCGCCAATGCATCTGCAGCCCAAAAGGATCTCTTCGTAAAGTTCTTCACAGCTGCCGGAGATCCCCATTTGGCCCGCATGAACGAAATGTCCAGTTTCTTTACGAATCGAACTCTGACTGCTGATTTGCATATGTTAGATGACTTAAATCTTCGTGAGGTCTACGAATATATCCAGTTTAAGTGCGAAGATCTCTTTCATGTCTGCCGATGGCGGGGTAATCCAGTCAACTGCTGCGAGGTCTTTGAGAACCAATTTACGGAGTCCGGTTTGTGTTTTGTTTTCAACACGGAAATTAGTCCGGCATCGCGAAATAGAGCGGTGGGTAAAATTAAATCTAAAATATCTTAAATATAATAAATAATATCTATAAAAACCACTGCAGAAGGAGGACAAATACTATCCCCTACGCACACCTCAGTACGGCGAAGGTTCCGGCCTGGATATTTTCATCAGGCTTCACAGATCCTTTATACGTCCTGGAAAGCGGGGCATAAATGTGATGATCAAACAGCCGCAGCAGTGGAGCGATGTAGTGCGTCATGTGCCACATGAAGCTCATACCAGGATCAGCATGACACCCAGGTTTACGATCACAGATGAACGAACGAGATCCGTTACGCCGGATATACGAAGATGCATCTTCCCGGATGAGGTCGACAGTCCGCTGTACAAAAACCTGCCGGATTTCCAGTACTGGGTGGGAAACTGCCGCACCAAGTGCCACCAGGAACATGTCCTCGAGCTCTGCAAATGCTCACCATCCATATTTTTTCCCGTTAACGAAAAAGGTAGCCTTTAAAATGTGAATAAAAATATTTTTTATGTATCCCTAATATTTGCCAGATAACTTTACCGTCTGCAAAGCTTCGGACTTTAAGTGTCTTTATGACAACAGACGTGAGTCATTTTTTTTGAATTTGTAGTTATTAAATATTTTATTAATTTATTTTAATCACAGTTACCTTCAGCATTGAACGCCATCCCGAAGAGAAAGAATATGTAAAAAATGCTCTTAATGAAAGCATGATCTGTGACTGTTTTACCAGCTGCACTCAGCTTATTTTTGAGCGTGTTTACACCACAACTACACTGGAGTAAGTAGATTTCATAGATAAATATTGTAATATTTATTTGGAAATCCCTTTTAGTAATAATGAAACCGATACTGAGGCGGGCACAATGCGCATAGATATTTTTTATCAGTCTGGCTGGTTTATTCAATATCAAACCGTGATGAGATTTACCTTTGTGGAACTTCTAGGTGGGTTAAAAATTTAAACTCCTCTTAAAGGTTATACTTAAAGTGTATTTTTATCTTTTCAGCTAGTTTTGGTGGCATAATTGGACTTTTCCTGGGCGCCTCTTTACTCAGCGCATTTGAGTTAGCCTACTACTCTTCCATTGGCCTCTATTTGTACATTCATGACAAGAGAAGAAGGAATCAGCATAAGTCTCGCCTTATAACTATACCATTTGGCCAGAGAAAAATAACGCCCATTAAGTACATTCATTAAACTTTTATTAAAAATTAAATATTAATTTTATTATCCTTTTACCAAACATTTTTTCTTTGGTTAAAGGGATGCCTTAGTTGACTTTTGCCGACTTCTTTTTGGTTAGCAGGATGTTCTGCTAGATGGCTCACTTCGTTTTTAAGGTAGCTCTTAAACTTCCCCCACTTGATGCGCAGTTGTTTGCTTAAAACCCCATAATATCTATTATCATATAGATGCATTGCGAGGCCCACAGTTAGATAGTAAATCAATTCGAAGGCACTGACCATAGAAGCACCCAAGCAGAGGCCAAAGATTCCACCCAGATTGGCTGCAAATATATTAGATAGATATATGGTAACTACCTGAAATGTCTCACCTATCAAATCAATTATGGTAAACTCCAAACTGGTGCGATACAAAGGAGTAGTTTCCACTTGATAGTGCACATCCACCTTAAAGAGTTTCTGATGTGGATCTTTGGGGCTGCAATAAATGGTTTCATATATCTCTTGAAATCAAAGAAAGGTTGGGTCTAACTCTACAGTTTATGGGCTGACAAGGGCAGAGTGGTGGTGGCCGTATAATAGTCGAGCAGGTAGCAGTTCACCAAACAGGAACAGGTCATCCCCGGTTTTGTGGCACTGAAAAGGGCATCCTCGTCCCTGCGCTTATCGTAGCTGAAAATGTCTGCAACGAAGGGCTATAGTTTCGAGAATTAATCTTTTTCAATTTTTCTTACCATTGTGACGAGCCAAGCAGCGCAGGCTAGCTGCATCACATTCTTTAACTGAAAGAAAGCAAAATAAAATATTTGATCAAAATATTCCTAATTACACCTGTTACTAGTAGAGTATCTATCATAATGTATAACAAATTTTTCAAATCGGACTATTCATTTAAAAGTTATGAACAAAGCAAATAATGAAATTCAAGCAGTGCAAGCAGTCGCTTTTCTGCATGCATTCCTCCATCTCCCTCGCACTTTCTTTAGCTGAGTAACGGGTGTCTAATATCGTTCTATCTTGCTTAATACTTATAGTGTACTTACCCCTGTTGTTGTATAAGAAAAAAATGGGCAGTGAGCAGTTGCACATCTGAACCAAGTAGGATTCATGGCATCTATTCAGGCAGTTGGTGAGCTGAAAGGGCTTTCCATATTTCTTGGCTGCATCATGGGTATCCAGCTCACTCTGCTCGTCGGCAAAAAGGCAATTCCTTCGCTCCGGCGGAATACTACGCGTGGTCTCATCCGTCCAAGTGAGATCAGGACGTACGGTTACATAGGTCTCGGTGTTTTGGGTCATGGAGTAAACCACATTCGTCAATTGATCTGGCTTCTTTATCATTACCTGTGGGTAGTTTACATGCTTATTAATTATTACATAATTTCCCTTAGATATACCCACGTAGACATTATCATTTGCCTGCGAATCGGGTCGCTTGAAACTCTCATTGATGAGTAGATCAAAATTCAATCCCGTACTCTGACCCGCCTTGGCATTGTGCCTGGGATAAAAATGAAAGCCCTCCTTTTGTCGAATTGCCTTGGAGCGGGGCGAAATCTCCGAGTTGAAGACCAAACAAAATCCAAACTCTGTCTTCTCCATCACAAAGTACTCGCAGCAATTGAAGGAGGAACTGCGCCACAGGCAGGAGTGCGTGACCAAGATGTCCTCGCACTGGAGGGTCATGAATATGGCCAAGTCGGTTAGGTTCACAAATCCCACCGCCTCCAGGTTATCGTCCTCCAGCTGAGCCAAACTGGCCATATAACTGCCGAAGCGGAGAGTTTCCAATCGGGAAACCAAGGTGGTGAAGCTCTCAACCAATTCCCCGCTCGAATTGGCAGGCAGGAACTTCTCCTTGGCCGCCTCCAATTTGCTCCAATTGATGCGATTGTCTGTGCAAATTCCTACGGCCGGAAATTGGACCAGAAAAACGGGGTACTGTGGATCGTGAACAACTGTCTGCAGCTTCTGGGACACAAAACGCTCCGAGAGTAGAAGGTAAAAGAAACAGGATAAGGCTACGCTGATGATGAGCAGCACGCACCAGATGAGTCTGCGGGTGAAGATTATACGGAGATTTAATAAAAAATTACATTAAGGATTCAGGATTTTGTTTTAATAAAAAAAAAAGTTGCATACTTTTTGAATACCACATTTCCTTTCACTTTTCAACCCCGAATTTAAATCCCTGGTTGTGGGGTGAATTTCAGAAAAAAATGTTGCTTGCATACTTTTTCAACCCCAAATCCCCAAATGGTTTTAAAATATTTTTTTTAAAAACAAACCTCTCCACATTGTGCAACTGGGGATCGTAAAGATAGCGAACACAGTGAATCGTTGACTTTTCGCAATAGCTCCGAAAATGGACCCTCAGCAAGTCCACGAGGCACTTGTCACTACTGGTGCCACCGAAACTAGTTGCCTCCACCGATTTATCTCCCTTGGCCATCCCGAAAGCGAGTCACTCAATCACTGAGCTTTTCGCTGGCATTCGGGGAACCCTTTTATGGCCAGGGTCCAACTGGCCAGCTAGTTGATTTGTAATTGCAGCAGACAAAGTTTCACCCGGATAGGCCATCCATTATGGCTCACAAGCTTTGTAATTGAGTAGTTATGTTTTCCGCCCGTTGATAAGGCCGCTGACAGAAGTGGCTGTGACTATCGAACTCATTGATTAGCGGTCAGAACTGCCAATTAGCCCCGATTTTCCCACAGTCATAGTTCAGCCGTTGAGCGAAATGAGTGCCATTGCGTGGAAGCCAGAACCTTCTTTCGAGGATAATGATGATGACCAGCGGGAGTCGAAGAAGCAGAAGAACGACGGCGAGAATGGATGGGCTTCGACCAGGAGGTGAGTAATAACGATATTTACCTAAAATAGAAAACAGAGCACTTCAAAAAAATAAAAAAAACATTATAAACTCTAAACAAATGTATTAAAGTAGCCAAAAAGTATGCAATTAATTAGGAATAGTCGCCTTTGTATATAAATTAATATCACTTTTGAGTTAAAAAATATATTGTTGCATACTTTTGGACACCTATTTTTTTAAGCCCAGCTGTTTCTTTTTTTATTAATTTAATTTAATTCATTCCAATCCTAAGAAAATTTCTTATATATCTTCTTGTTATTCCCCTACAGATATGCTAGAATCCCACTGAAATTAATCGCCTTGTTAGCCACTGTCTACGTGAGTGTTTTGTCTTCGGAGCGGTATTTCTATTATTGGGTGCAGACCTCCATCGAAAGGACCGATGTGCATGTGTCTGAGATTTATTTTCCAGCAGTGACCATTATCCCGATCAATTTCACCATGGTTAATATCTCAAAGAAATCGGAGAAATTTTCCAAGGCCTATAATTTGGTACAGTCTGTTATTTGGCAAACTCCGATGTCAGCCCGCCTGACGGAGGAGAACTTTACGGAGTTTTCCGACTACGACAATTGGAACTTTCAGACCTGGGGATTTCTCGAGTCCTGGCAGGTCAATTGTAAGCACTTTTTCACCGAGTGCCAGTGGCGCCACAAGACAATGAACTGCTGTGACATTTTCCGGCCTGGAAAAACATTCAATGGATTTTCCTTTGAGTTCAATTCGAATCTGTCCACGACGAGAGATGAAACCTGGCCTTGGTCAGCAGCTGCATCGGGATCCAATAGCGGTTTAAATGTTAAGATCAAACGGCAGCACAGCCAGTTTACGGTGAATACTCTGGGGGTGAGTAAGATTATTAATACAGAATACAAAATAATATATAGGGTACTATCTGCTCCCAACACTCATCAGGTTATAGTACACGAACCAACACAGTATCTGGGCATGAGTATTGACTATTCCTCGGAGGATAGGATTGTGATTCCGGTAGAACCTCTTCGTTTTACAGCCGAATCAGATGTCAAGGCACGTCCAGTTGAAATGCGTCGGTGTTATTTCAAGGTAACAATCAGATGAGAACTAGAGCTTAAAACTAATCGATATTTTCGATATTTGCACAATATTGATTCGATAATATCGATGTTTTAAGGGAAAACACATTTAAAATATTGAAAAATACAATTTTTATTTTATTTTTAATTAAATGAATTTTTTAGGCTGAAATTGAGGCATTATATGAAACCCGTTCGGAATGCATATACAGGTGCCACTATTACTACATTCTTGACAAGTGCAACTGCACTTTAAATTTACCAGTTTGGGCCTCTTTTAACGAAAAAAGTAATACCGCTTCGAAGGAAAGCAGTAAGCTAAGGATTTGCGGTGTTCCAGATCTAGCCTGCTTTAACAAAAACAAACGTGGGTCCTTACTAAGATATGATTTTTAAAAGTACACTAAAATTGTAAACCTTTATCGCTTAGTTTCCCTGCTTTCTATGAGCAACATCATAGAAGAGTCGAGGGATAATGTATTTACCACCTTCGATTGCGGCTGCTTTCCCCAGTGTGATCACACCCAGTACCATACTTCGACTTACACCGAAAGATTGAGCACCCACACTGCCCACGCAACGGAAATCGAGATAGATGTGTATTTTCAGGAGGAGACCCTGTTCTCCTATCGCTCCATGCTGCGCTTCACCCTCATCGATCTAATGGGTAAGTTACGGACTCTATCGCATAACCGATTTAAAATATAAAACTATATAATCCACAGTTTCCTACGGAGGAATAGCAGGTCTGATCATGGGAATCTCGGTTCTAGGCTGTGTCAATAACTTTTTGGATCACTTTGTCTGCTGTCGTCTACCCCATGATTCCTAACGTAAAACTAGGAAATCTAAACCATCTGCAGCTGAGTTCTCACGTTGCCTCACTTACCTGTAATCGATGCACTACACACCTGGTTCTTGGGATACACACACATAAATAAATTGAGAACAAAAACGCATTAGGAGAATCGTTTCGAGTTTAACTACCTGCGTAGACAGTGGAAAATTTTCAATTGCAGCCCCCACCAGACATAATAAAAACCCAGGGGTATCGTATGTATACGTATACAAATCCATAAGATTTGTTTACATGCACTTGGAAAATATGATTATAAGTTTCCCAAAAACTAAAAAAAATTTAAGCTTATTTTAAAAGTACGATTTCAGTTGATAAAAAATCCTGTATTTTATTTATTAGTTTAAAAAAAAATGAAAAACAAAATCTTTCAAATTAAATTCAAATGAGAACTTAAAATATTTTTGAAAACTTTATCTCAAATCCTAAAATTTTTCTAAGTGCATATATACTATCCGCAGATGTGCTGCGTTCGCTAAACATTTGAATACTTATAATCTCTTAAAAAAAAGAATAACGAATAACGTGCCAATTTGCGAGAGATTAAAGGGGAGCAGTCTTATCAGCAGCTCAGTTCTTATAGAGGTTATTAGACGGCATCCAGAAATTCTTTGTTGTCCACTTGTCCACAGAAGCATTAAATGCTTGGCGTCACAAAGGAATTAAATGTTTGGAGCGGAGCATAAAAACGGGATCGAGAAGCATAATCTTGCCTTGGAGACACCTCAGGTACCAAGTCCAATCGCCGAACCCGAAATCAGTTCCCTCGCAGGGGTATAAATAGCGGCTGTCTGGCCCTATTTCTGAATAGTCTTCGCTCGATCGTTGGACAAACAAGTTAAAGGAAGCAAAAATGAAGGTTTTCGTTGCCATCTGTGTGCTGATTGGACTGGTGAGTTTTTCAACCCGATAACCCGGGCCTCGAATCTAATTAATATTCCTTTTTTGGGTTAAAGGCCTCCGCTGACTATGTCGTGAAGAACCGGAACGACATGCTCGCCTACCGGGAGGAGTGCGTCAAGGAGCTGGCCGTTCCCGCCGATCTGGTCGAGAAGTACACCAAGTGGGAGTACCCCAATGACACCAAGACCCAGTGCTACATCAAGTGCGTCTTCACCAAGTGGGGCCTGTTCGATGCCCAGACCGGTTTCAATGTGGAGAACATCCACCAGCAGCTGGTCGGCAACCACGCCGACCACAACGAGGCCTTCCACGCCACCCTGGCCGCCTGCGTGGACAAGAACGAGCAGGGAACCAGTGAGTGCGAGTGGGCCTACCGTGGAGCCACCTGCCTGCTGAGGGAGAACGCCGCCCTCATCCAGAAGAGCCTGGCCCCCAAGGTTTAGAGGGGGTCTCAATGCGACTGCTGTACTGATAAGCCATAATTTAGTTAATAAAGTAATTGATTTCCGACAAACTTTTGTTCGTTCTCCTTGAGTCACTGGAAGAAAAAAAGGTTTCTTTTAAAAATAAATTTAAATATATAAAAAGAGTGTTTTTCAGAGAGTCTTAAAAATCCATGTGGGAAATATATATAAAATAAGACTATTTTACAAAATAATTTCTTGAAAATACACTGGAAGAGTTGCAGCTCACAATATACTCAATGTATCGTATTCATTTCTTCGGCAAAGTTTAAGGGTGACATTATAGCTTTAATTTAAGACTAATGTCACCTAAATTGATTTAGCGCAACTCGAAATGTACATAAAAACATGGACATAGAAAAAAAGAAGTGTTCACAAGCATAATTTTTGATTTTTTTTTTGTGGTCTAGGGGTCTTACTCCATCAGGAACTATCATCATCCTTATTGATAATTATAATAATAAAATAAAATTTGTAAACTAGTATCATTAATCTTATACTTTTCTGAAAATAATTATCAAATAAAAAAGGCAAATATCAAATATAATAAGGATAGTTATTTCAAGTATCAATTATCTGGAACCTATACTTTTTCTCCCCCAAGTGTGATTTCGGCAGTTAATGAATCCCGTCCACCTGACCAAAACTTTAGTAAACTTTTCCCATTCGTCATGCTGCTTTACACCAGGGAACTTGTGGCTCCGCGGCCAAAACAAGGACTTCTCCGCTTCAGGAACAAGCCACCTGGTCCAACGTACAGGGAGAGATTGCGCAGCTCCTTTGCCCACTCGTCCATCCCTGGAATGCAGCATGTCTTCGGGGAGCGGCATCTCTGGCAGCGCTGCCTGTGGCTTACCGTCGTCCTGGGAGCGGGCCTCACTGGATTTAGTCTGTACACCGTGCTGAGGCATCGCCACAGTGAGCAGCTCCTGGTCAGCCTGATAGAGACCACCCAGTTGCCAGTCTATCACATCGATTTCCCAGCGGTGGCCATTTGTCCATGGAGCCACGTCAACTGGGAAAGAGCACTGCCAGCATTACACCGATTTCTGCCCAGAAATCCGGATGCAGAGCTTCGGGAAACATTCCGCATGCTACTCGTGGTTCTGGATCTTACTTCATTTTCCAATTTCCAAAGGGCAGAGGATCTGGCCAAGAAGAATGGCACTGGTTTGGGGTTTTTAAAAATGAAGCAGCTGATGAACTTCTTGGCCTATCGATGCGACGAGCTGTTTGTCTCCGATTCCTGCGTCTTCGATGAGACTCCCTACGATTGCTGCAAGCTCTTCGTGCCGGAACAAACGGAGAAGGGTCAGTGCTTGGTCTTCAACTCCCTGATATCGGAGCACTCCCGGAAAAAGCAACTGACCAATAAGTTTTATCCTTACAAATTGAGCACCGCTGGCGAGGAGTCGGGCTTGAAATTTACTATCAATGCAAGCTATACCTTTGTGAAGTCTGGCGAACCTCTTCCCTTTGGAATGAATGTAAGTACGCTAGAAAATTCTAGAAATAAATTAATAAATTTGTATTAAATTAATTTAAAAAGCTAATGATTAAGGAACCACGACAATGGTCGAATCAAATGATGTACCACCTCTATCCGGATACGGAAAACTTTGTGGCTGTGCATCCTATGGTCACGGAAACCTCCCCTAACACCTATGAAATGAGTCCCAGCAAGAGGCGTTGCTACTTTGATGTGAGTGAGGGCTCTTAACTATAAGTGAAACCCCATATAAAGTTATATTCTCCGTAGAACGAAAAGAATCCAAACTTCCAGGACTCTTCATTGACCTATAATCGGGAAAATTGTCTGGTTATGTGCCTTCATCTAGTCGTCTTGAAGACCTGCAATTGCTCCACGCCTGTTTTTCTGCCGCCCATTGGTAAATATTGAGAAAACTATTATAGTTCATTCACTTCATGGATAAACTTCCCTTTTTAGAAACCATTCGGGAGTGTGGAATAGTGGATGCCGCCTGTCTGGGCAGCAATGCCGATATTTTCAGCTATGTAAAGATGGGCGAGCAGGATAAATACATTAACGACTCACGACGTGGACACTTTTGTGATTGCCCAGATAATTGCAATTCGCGGCAGTACAAAATGACGCTCAATGTGAGAAAGTTGGATTAGTAAGTAGAGTATAATTTTTTAACCCTTACCTTATAAAATTCCCTTCTTTTAAAGTCCAAAAAACTCTACAGAGACGTTGATAAAAGCACAGATTTATTATGGCCAGCGAGTGATGACCAAAATCATAACGAAACTCAAGTACACTAATCTAGATCTGCTGGCCAACTTTGGTGGCATCATAAGTCTTTACATAGGGGCCTCTGTCATGAGTTTCATAGAACTTTCGATTGTGCTGGGCAAACTGCTGCGGGTATTCGTTAAAGATGCCTACGCGAAGGTAAAAAGAGTGTGTTAACTAGCTTACTTGGAAAAAACGTGTATAAACAAATAAATGAAGAGAGTTCCCGGAAGAAAAAAACCCTATTATTTCTGTTTAGTCTCTTGATCCGTCGGGTAGCGTATATAGATGGCCGGGTGCGGCACGGTGGCCGGCGTCTCTGGCAGGTGGTCCAAATACGAGCAGCCGATGGCCAGGGCGGAGCCATCGGAGCTAAAGTTGAGCGTGGAGATGGAGGTGTCGTATTCGTGGAACTGGCACAGGCGCTTCTTGTTGAAGCCGTCCCAAATGTTCACGATGCCATCGGAACCACCGGTGGCGAAGGTCTGGTAGACATTGTGGAAGCTTAACGCATTCACGGGATAGATTTGCTCGATGTTCTGCTCCCGATTGCGATGACACTTGAAGGCGAACTTGCGGCGCTGCACCTCGGGATCGTGATCCAGATACTCGACGGCCACGCGGCCCTCGATGGAGGACATCACGTAGCCCTCCTTGTTGGGGAACAGGCGAATGCAGCGGGTCTGGTACTTGAGCGAGGACTCGCGCTTCATGATGTAGCTGTCCATCTTGCGCAGATCCCAGATGAGCACCTTGCGGTCGGAGGTGGCCACCACGATCTTCTCGTCGATCACCGACATGGAGTAAACCTTGCCGTTGCTCTGCTCGAAGGTGCCCACGCAGCGCTTCTCCCGCATGTCCCACAGCTTCACGTTGGTGTCCCAGCTGCCCGTGAGGATGCCATTCACGTACTCGGCGTGCTCCACGCAGCGGATGGGCTCCTCGTGGCAACCAACTATGCTCTCGGTCTGCGTGTTGACATCGAAGAGACGCAGTTGGTTGTCCAGCGAGCCACTGACCACGTGCACGATGTCCTGCGAATCGGGGGGTTTAGTGGGGGGATTGGGAATATGTATAGACTAGTCTCACCATGAAGGCACAGTCCAAAATCGGGGCATCCTGCAGGAACTTCTGGCGCATCTGGTTAGCCGGCACATCGTAGAACCTCAAAGTTCCGTCCCACGAAGACGCAGCCATGTACTGATTCGATTTGGGGCCGAATTTCACCGCCGAGATCAGGTCCTCCGGCGGATTGTTGAGCTTGAACTCTGGCGGACGCATTTTGTCAGGTTAGGGGGTAGTATACTAGTTATAAAGCTATTTTATTTCAAACAAAAACTGTTTTAATGCGATGGCGGAGGAATTTGCACCTAGGTCAGAGGTGAACCACTTTCGATAGCACAATCGATAAATAACACTTATTGTCGTTAGGGGGATTCCTGAAACTAGAAATTTATTTAGGTTGAGTATTGAAAAAAATAATTATTGATTTTAAATATTTTAACAACCTGGAAACAAATTATTAGAACCGAATTGACCAGTTAAAAAACATTATTAAATAAAACAAAATATTTATTTTTTTAAGGGTAGGGTAAGAGGGGAAAGAAGCTTAAACGAAATCTTTAAATCAAATTAAGAACATGCTAAGAAGAACAAAATTTATTTGCTACAAAATATTATGAAATATTTTATTAAGCAATATTTACTTGAATTTAACTTAATTTTACCCCTATTTACTCGACTACCCTTCTTTTTTATAGTTTTGCGGTCACCCTGATGTAGTGCCACCACCGATAACCGACTATCGATCCTTGACGATCGTGTTGGCGGCGAATTTGCCCATCTCTATAGACGACGCCGCTTTTTAGAAATACAGTTCGTTTTTGAGTTTGTGAAAATTACAGGAAAATAACTGGCGATGGAGGAAACGCACGACTTCCAGTTCGTCCTCCCGCTGAACGCCTCCGACCTCATAAACTCGAGCGGCGACCAGTACTACGTGAAGGAGATATTCGGCAGCGCCGATATTCCCGCTAAACTTCTGGGTGAGTTTCCCGATTTAGCGGTTGCTTTTTGAAAACGTAACTTTATATTATATCCATACAGAATGCAAGAGAAAAGTGCACCAGGGAGATCCCTTCTATATATTTGAGCACTTTGACCTGTACTACTCGATCCTGGAGGATCGCGGCTCCAATGCCGCCGCCTCCCAGAACCAAATGAGATCCTTTGACCTGCTCTACTTGACGGTGGACAAGCTTTTCCAGGATCTGCAGCCTCTGCTGACGGCCAGCGAACCCCTCTCCAATGCGCAGCGCATTCGTTACTTGAATCTGACCAAGATGACGCTCTTCCTGATCGTCAGCACCGTGAAGAAGATCAACAACAGTGTGCAGCAGGCGCTGCGCGATCAGCAGGTGAATGTCCAGAAGAAGCGGGCCAAGCAGCCGGAGGGTCTGGAACAGTTTCCCAATTGGGACGCCAAACGCGGCAAGTTCCTGGTGCAGCTCTTCAATGTGCTCCAGTGCCCGCTGGAGAAGCTCTGGAGTCCGCCCGTCGCCGAGGAGGATTTCATATCGTAAGTGGTATCCTATCTGTGGTATTTTCCTATCTATAATCTATCTCCGCCCTCCTTAGTTTGCTCTGCGACATATGCTATCGCACCCTGGAGATGCTGCCGCTTCGGCCGGACAACAGGCATGTCTTCGACACCATCTTCCAGATCCTGGGCACCTCGATTAAGCGCTTCAACCAGGCCATGACCTTCCCCGTTCGCATCCTGCAGATCCTGCGCGGCACTGAGCACGCAGCCGCCTCCGTGGCCACCGGAATTCTGCTGTTGCACGAGGAGTACGGCATTTCGTCGGTCTTTTCGATCCTCATCAAGAGCATCGTGGACGCCTTGAAGCTGGACAGCTCTGATTCCACCGTTTCCAAGCACTTCTCCAACTTTCTGGCCGAGTTCTCGACCATCGCGCCTGCACTGATCATTCCGCATCTGGAGAAGCTGGCCGATGATCTGCTGGACTGCCAGTCGCACACGCTGCGCAATTGCGTGCTGCAGATCATCGGCGACACGGTGGTCAGTGAACTGACCTCGGAGGATCTCAGCGAGGAGCTGAAGGAAGTGCGCAACGAGTTCCTCGAGCATTTAGTGTCCCACATCTTGGATGTATCTGCGCATGTGCGCTCCAAAGTGCTGAGCATCTGGCACCACTTGAAGGTGCAGCACGCGATTCCGCTCAACTTTCTGATCCGCGTGCTAGACGAGGCAATTGGAAGACTGGAGGACAAGAGCTCGCTGGTGCGGCGTGCCGCCATGCAGCTAATCAAGTCCGCTTTAGAAAGCAATCCCTACAGCAGCAAACTATCGCTGGATGAACTGCGGGCCAAACACGAGCACGAGGTGAAGGCCATGGAGACGCTGAACGAAGTGCTCGAGGAGGAGCGCAAGCAGGAGGAGAAGCTCAACGAAGAGTTTGGCGCCCTGGCGCCCGAACTTTTGCCCTGCATTGAGGCGAATCTCAGGGAGTGTGAGTATACCAGTTAATTCCTGGTAAATCCAAGGGTTACTTATTTATACTTCTTCTAATCTTTCAGTTCCCGACATGCAGTTCGACAAGGAGGAGAGCGACGAGACCTTGCTGGAGCGCATTGTGCCGCTGATGCGTGAAAAGAACTACAAGGATGTGATTGTTCTGGTGCGAAAGGTGGACTTTCTGGCCGGTAATCAAAGCATGAGCTCCCTGCTGAAGCACGAGGAGCATTGCGTCTATGTGCTGGCCCTGCTAAAGTCATATCACCTGCTTGCTGCCGGGTTTAAGCAGAGTGTAGGTGTTTAATAGAGCCCTGCATGAATGGATTTAATGAATTATTTAGAATTTTCCACTTCTTAAAAGAAGGCACAAATAGAATCTGGCAAATTCAAAATATATTATTATTATTCATAAAAATTATTCATTCAATTCGAAATGAATTAGAAAAACATTCAATTTATTTCACATACAAATTGAATTAAACAAATCAAAAATTTCTTGGAATACTATGATAAAACAAAAATTGAATGATTCACGCAGGGCTCTAGTGTTTAAACAGAAATAGAGAATCTCAACTAACCAAAAACTCCTCTTACAGAGCGAAGAGATGCTGCAGCAGATCAAAACGGTGCAGTTCCTGAAGGACAGCATCGACTTTGCCATGCTGATGACCTCGGCGTTTCCCAAACTGCACGAGATGCTCATGTCCAAGACGAACACGGATGTTTTCGAGGCCGTCGACCTGTTCACCACCGGCTACATGTTCGGCATCCATGGCACGGAATCGGGAATGCAGCGGATGCTGCAGCTTGTGTGGTCCTCGGACAAGGAAAAGCGCGATGCCGTGTCGGATGCCTATAAGCGGGTTCTCTTCTCCACCGACCAAACGGGCCGTGCCCACGCCATCCGTGTGGTGCAGAACCTGTCCAAGTTCATCTCGGAGATCGAGTACGGCCACTACACGGCCATGGAGTCGCTGATGGACGAGTGGGTGGCCGGTGGCGATATCGACGCCGCCGTCATCACGGTGCTCTTCGAGCGATTCACTCTGAAACTGGAGGGCACCACCGCCAACGAATCTCGCCTGGCGCTGCAGCTCCTCATCATGGCCTCTCAATCGAAGGCCAGCATTGTTTCCGCGAATACTAATATAATCGAGGACATTTGTACAGGGGAGCGGGTTCGCCGAGATCCTCGCCTTTTCACCTCCTGCCTGCAGCTGTTGGTCAACTCAATCGATGCGAATAACAATGCCAAGTATTACAAGCGACAGAACAGCGATGCCGAGTTTGTGGGCAGAATCACACGGCTCTTCCTCGACTTCTTTTTCCACAAAAACCTATCCGACTTTGATGGTCTGGCTATGAGCGTGTTGGAGTACTTCTACAGGATGTGCCAGGCGCCCGATGTGATTGCCCAGCAGCTGGTGGTGGCTCTGCTCAGGCGTTTCAACGATAGCTGGCTGGTCAAGGAGGGAATTGCAGCGTCCCCAGAAGCGGCAGACAAGGAGAACCAGGTGCTGGAATCGCAGACCTTGGAGATTCCCTACTCGCAGACCCTTAATCCCACTCAGACGCAATCGGATGGCCTCACGCAGACGCAGGGCGGTCTGATCCCCGTTTTCCTGGTCTCCCGCTTGGTCTTCTGCATCGGCTACATGACCATCAAGGAGATGATCTTCCTGGACATGGACATCTACAACAACATGAAGTATCGCGACGAGCTGACGGCGCTGGAGGAGCGTAAAAATCGCAATCAGCAGGCGGCGGGAAATGCGAGAAACTCGGCCAGGCTCACCCTGAATCTCTCAGCAATGGAGGTGCGCAAGCGACTTTCCGGAGTGGCGGCGGAACCGCAGCAGGAGCCGGACGACGATCTAGTGGGCGCCACCGCGGAGGACAACATTGCCGAGGAGATCCACGGCATCTGTGAGGATATGCTGCTGTACAACCCGGATGCCCTGCTCTCCAAGCTGGCGCCATTCATCATAGAGATTTGCAAGCGGCCGGGAGAGTTTAAGGACCCGAAACTGCAGCAAGCGGCGAATTTGGCGCTGGCCCGTCTGATGACCGTCTCCTCGCGCTTCTGCGAGACCAACATGAGCTTCCTGATGAACATCCTCAACCTCACCAAGAACATCAAGATCAAATGCAACACAGTGGTGGGCCTGTCGGATCTTACTTTCCGTTTCCCGAATATTATAGAGCCCTGGACGGGTCACTTTTACGCCCAGCTGCACGAATCGAACACCGAGTTGCGGTTGACGGCGGTTAAAATGTTGTCCCACTTGATCCTCAACGAAATGATACGCGTCAAAGGTCAAATTGCCGACATGGCGCTGTGCATTGTGGACGGCAACGAGGAGATTCGCAATATCACCAAACAGTTCTTCAAGGAGATAGCCAACAAGTCGAACATTCTGTACAACGTTCTGCCGGACATCATCTCCCGTTTGGGCGACATCAACCTGAACCTCGATGAGGACAAGTACCGCATCATCATGTCGTACATCTTGGGACTCATACAGAAGGACCGGCAGATCGAGACGCTGGTGGAGAAGCTGTGCCTACGCTTCCCGGTGACGCGGGTGGAGCGTCAGTGGCGCGACATCGCCTACTGCTTGGGCTTGCTCACCTACAACGAGCGGGCGGTGAAGAAGCTAATGGACAACATGCAGCACTACAGGGATAAAGTGCAGGTGGACGAGGTCTACCAGTCCTTCAAGCTGATCATCAGCAACACCAACAAGCTGGCCAAGCCGGAGCTCAAGGCTGTGGTTACAGAGTTTGAGAACCGATTGAACGAGTGCCTGCAGGTGAATCCGGATGGTGGGGCGCAAACTGGCGATCAAGGTAATGCCGAGAGTCAGGCGAATAGGACCAGGGCAGCCAGGCCACAGAAGGGCGGTCGAAAGGCGCCGGCAGGCAAAAAGACTCCTGCGCGGGGACGCGGACGACGTGCTCGCCAGGATTCCACCTCGGAGGAAAGCACATCGAGCAGCGATGATTAGTTCGATCCTTAGGTAGTTAGACCTTTTAATGGATTTTTAAATTATGTAAAAACATCGGTTTTAATGAAAATACGAATAAAGCACTACACTTAATTTTAATATATTTATTTTTACTCAAGTCAACAAACATCTAATAAACTCTACTAAGATCCGTTTCCACATCTCCATCAGAACAAAAACGGAACACATATTTGGTTACACTAAGCTACTGGGATGGGGAAACAAACACACGTAAATGGCATTACTCTAGACGGTCTGGAAGTACTAAGTTTGGTGGTTGCGTTTATGTCTATATCTATGGTTTTCCAATAGATGAGCATTGGGGGGCACTGCTTTCACTTGATTTTCTTGCGAAAGCTGCGTTGACCATCGTCGGCGGTGCTCAGCGCAATGGCAAACTGGGCGGCATAATAGGTGATCATGATCTGGAGGCGGGCGCAGGGCAGGGGCACGCCCACGAACATGGTAACCGCGATTAGGGCGTCGGAGATCACAAATAGAATCGCTCCGATGGCGCAGAAAATGGTGAGGAAGTTCCTGGAGTCTACGGCGCGGGCCAGGGATCTCCAGAGCATTGTGGTGATCAGGAAACAGTAGATCGGCACTCCGATAATGAGAATCTCGTCCAGATTCTGGTGCACAAAGTAAATGACTGTAAAATAAATATGTGAATTTAATTGAAGAAAAATCGGTAAACCGGTAAAATCGATATGCCCATGGTAAATTTCTGGTATTTCATACACATATCGTTTTTACCATGAAATACTGGTAAAATTGATATTAAATAATATCATTTTGCCGAATTCTCCCTCTCGGATAAATTTAATATTACTTTTTTCTTTGGGTGTAGCGATTATTTTAAGTTTTGATTTTAGAACTTACAAAATGACACGGCCACATAGAGAGCCGATCCAATGAGCCACTTTACTGGCTTCCAACCAAAGGCGCTGATATAAAAGACATGCGCCACTCCAAAGGAGATCATTCCAAACGGAAATAGATTTATATTGAGCAGGGCATCACCACCGCTGGAAAAGACCAGGCCCAAAAGTATCCAAAGTGAGCGACGATACCTTTAAAAATAATATTTAAATTAATATGTTAACTGATAGGCTTAAAAACCTACTCTTTTTTGAGCGAAATTCCCTTGGCCACCACATAGAACATCAGAGCCACAATTGGCAGACACTTGAGCACTGTGGTCCATAGTTCTCCTTGGGGATCCTTTCTGACAAGAGAGAAATACAGGACGAGGGTCACCAGAAATGGCACCAACTTCGGGCCCTGAGCCTTGGCCTTTGATAAAATAAAAGCTTATTAAAATACATTTTATTACTAATAAAAAAAAGTTGATTAGAGTAAAGTGCTTAGAGAAATTCTTAACATCAATATTTAACAATAAATATTCCACAACATAATTTGATTTATTTGTATAATACTATTAAAAATGTTTTTTTTAGAATAATTTTTGTATAGTATTTTTGCTGTAAATTACCCATAAATTCTTTTAAATAAAAGATAAGTACAGGTTTGAACAGCTAACAATTTAATATATCACTTTTCAGGTAATATTGAAAAAATGAGTTTTTAAAAATTTTTTTTTTATTTTTTGTGAGGGTTATTATTATTATGATTTTTTTCAAAAATGTAAAACAAATAAATGTTCCAGGATTAATTTCCCATTTATCGGGTATTTGATTACGATCTTAACGAGGTACTACATTTAATATTTGGTTCAATAATTTTATTGTTTCGGCCAAAACAAAATCCGTATAATTAAAAAACATTCAAGCTTTACTGTAAAATTACGGCGTTACAAATAATTAATTTAGAATCTATGAATGCTCCACATGTTGCTTGTACCCAAAATAGGCCAAGCGATTATCGCTAATCGTACCACGGAGGTCCAAACTACAGTCAAACCCAAGTGATTAAGGAAATCGAACCGTTTCGGGGCTGATTAGATTAAAGCGTTTATTCGGTTGTTGGCATGCCACCAGTAGTCCCTCGTCAAACATTTATGGGCTCTATGGAGATGTAAATTTGCAGGGAATTATCTATGTTTGGGGCCGAGAAACGGGGACTTCAAAGGGCCTTCAAACTTTCACTTTCGGTGCAGGAGCTTTCCGAGTGCTCCAGAGAACCTGAGAGATGTGCAAGGTCAAGGACGAAGCTTTGTGTTCTTTTTATAGTTCCGTTCCACTTTCTGCGGTTAGATAAAGCATCCGCAGTGCACTTGTAATACTTTATGTTTATAAAGCAGGAATTTTCCATATCAATAAAACTTAAAAACTCCTGATAAAATTCCATAGCTTTAATAACTTAGCACTTATAATACTTATAATGTTTATAAAGCTGGAATTTTTATATCGCTGAAATTTAAAATGTAAAATGTAAAATGTAAAATTCCAGAGCTTGAATCACTTACGAACTGCCCGAAATCGTTCATTGCGACGGTAATTAGTGCAAATTACAACTATTAGAAGCCAAGCTGCACTTTCACACGATGCGAGCGCGGAATCGAAAATAAACAAAAACTCAGGTATATCGGGTAAAGTAGCGCCCCCCCAGAAATGAAAACAATGGAAAAGAACACGTTGCGCATGGGGCGGCCAACGTCAATAAACTGAGGCGTATCATATATACTTTTTCGATTCGATTCGCTGGACTTTGAAAAGTTTGTCGGTTTCTGGAGAGTGAAAAGTTTTCAGCCGGACATGTGGTGTGCAGCATATGCAGCATTCTGCAAGATACTTTCTTACCGACCCACAGATACAGATACAAGTTCATTTGCGGACTCAGGAGGGCAGATTGATTATTTTTTACCTTTGTTATTAGTTGAGAGAGGGTATTTTTTGGAGAGAGTGCTACTCACGCAACAGGTTAATTGAGAAGTGACCGATGGCGAAGCTTTTCTAGAACAGCATCAAATTGAATCCGCAAGATACTCATGCGCAATCGCTCTTTCGCTCTCTTGGTATCTTCAAAACAATGCAACAATCTCTGCACACACTTTCACTTGGAAAAGCTTTCTCCGGAACTTTTAGACTTTTTCGCCACCTTATTTTGGGTAAAAGTTCATTCCGTTTCGAGTTGTGGCATTTTTCAGGCGTGCATAAAAATTCCTCAGCTCTCCAAGAGTTTTCACAACCATTTTAAACCACCTTAGAGCAAGGGAAATTAAAGAAAAAAGACAGTGAAAATTTTTAAATATTATAAATCAAGTAAGTGAGAGCCCAAAAGTATATTAGAAATTCAGGTACAAGTGGAAAAACCTTGTGAAAGAGCTGGAAAATTGTGTATCCTCCTGAAAAGCAAATACACACTGCTGCAAGCGAGGAGGTGCTGAAAATTAAAGCTGACCAGTGTGACACACATATGAATGTATAGGGTAGAAAAAGGAAACCTCGTAAATTATGCAAAATAGAATTATGCTAATGCGGTTGGGACGGCAAGAAAGAAAGCAAGAGTGGGAGCCTTGCCAAGAAAGAAGGACTCTTGACCTCCAAGGAAAGGCTCTCGAGATACTGCAGGGACCTTTGGGGCCTTTGTGGGCCACCAGTGGGTGGTGCACGTAGCAGGGTGAACCTCCCAAGCACCACCCCCTCACACACAAGTGCACGTTGAACTTGAGAAAAGAGCAAATGGAGAGCCCCGGGCAGAAAATGCACGATACACATCGAATCAATGGTTGAATCTCTAAGGAAAAAACCATAAAATTAGTCCCAACTCAGTTGGAACTTTCATTTCAATTGATTGAAAGCCCTTAATGGGGTTTTAGCGGGCTAAAAAGTTACATTTATGGGTTTGCCATTATCTTAAGCGCTTACTTACATTTAAATTTTTTTTTTTAATTATGCAACACGTTTATATTATTTTAAAAAATATATAAATTGTTAAATCCCTATACAACTTTAAACAAAAGTACACCAATTAAGGAGTAACTTGAAGCGTTAATTAACTGTAGCTCGTTGTAAGAAAATGGGTTTTCTAAATTTCAATGATTGATTTGTGGCCAATAATTGAATTGTTGACTTATACCAATACCACCAATACCCTACCTCCCGCTTAATCCCCGAAATAGATCGAATAGAGGCCACTCGAGGAGCAGCGAGCACGCGACATGGCGTGTCCTTTCTTCAGGCGAGCGGACTCGCTGACACGCCAGCCCTCGGTCATCGCCGAACCCGGTGGCCATTGGGCGCTCGAGGATGAGGAGCTGTCGGATGATGCCCTGACCCTCACGCACCTCCAAATGGCCATCCAGCTACTGACGGCGCCTTCCAACGAGGATCTCAACACGGCAGTCACCTCCTTGATTGCGAAGTACCGCCAGAATTGGCCCAACATTCACAAGCTGTGAGTAAAAATTAAAGGAATAAATATGAAGAATTTATTTAATGAATATCTTTAAAATGTATTAAAATTTAAGAAATCAATATTATTCAGTAGATTTATTGATTTATTTTAAAAAGCTATCTTATTTAAAGGTTAATCTTATTTAATAAAAATATTATTTAAAGGTTTATCTTATTTAATAAATATCTTTAAAAATTCATATTAATTTAAGATCAGTAGATTTCTTGATTTATTTTTAAGGTTTATCTTATTTAAGGTTAATTTAAGAAATCAATATTGATCAGTAGACTACTTGATTTAATTTTACGGTAAATCTTATTAAAAGGTTAATCTTTTAATGTCTTTAAAAATGCATATTAATTTAAGAAAAAGAATATTGATCAGTAGATTTCTTGTAATTTTTAAGATTTTTAAGGGTTATCTTATCTAAAGGTTAATCTTATTTAATAATTATCTTTAAAAATTCATATTAAATCAATAAATCAATATTGATCGGTAGATTTCTTGATTTATTTTTAATGGTTATTAATTTTTACTTAGATAAACCAATAAATCCCTTTTGATAACCCCCTAGAAAACTGGATCCCACGACTTTCAAGAGCTGTGCCAACTATGATTATTTGGCAGACATTCAGGAGCTGCTCCTGAAGATGGACGAGGCAAGTGCCAGCGAGATCCTGGTGCTCCTAGGCGAGGAGCTGATCACCTGCTGCTGCACAGGGATCATAGAGAGGGCCTTTCGCTGTCTGGGCACCGATCTGCAGGAGTTTCTGGGCTCCCTGGATGGGGTTTACGATGTGCTGAAGCTGCAGGAGGTGAACTATAGTCGGGGATAATAATAATATAATAATATATATATTGTAATAATAATATTTAGGAGGATGTGACCGATACTGGCTTCGTGTGTGCCGGCGAGGGCGAGCTGATCTTCACCTCAGAGCGTCCGGTGATCGCCTGGCTGCTGTTGGGCTCCCTGAAGGCCCTCACCCGCATGCTCTATAAAGTCGATGTGAATATCAAGATCGAACCGGTGGAGGGCGATGCCCGTCGCTATCGCTATCTCTTCTCGCTGGTCAAGGACAATTCGCAGACCATGCTAATGGGTCGACCCACTGCGGTGAGCAAAACGATTCCCGAAACAGTGCAGCGCAGCAACTCGAGCAATGCCTCCGATCTGCAAATGAACTCGGCCAGTTTCTGCAAGATGTTCCCCTGGCACTTCATCATGAACGAGCAGCTGGAACTGGTGCAGCTGGGCAGAGGATTCAGCAAGCTGTACAAGCCCTATATGGCGGACTTTGGTTGCCAGGCGACCACCTACTTTGATTTCAAGCGACCCAAGGGATTGACCATGAAGTTCCGCGATATTGTGAGGCGTACATATACGCCCTTCCTGATTGGTTTGAATAACCCCCCGGGAGCTGTGGATTTCCCGGCCATCGGGCTGGAGATCAAGGGTCAGATGGTGCACTGTCCCGAATCGAATTCCCTGCTGTTTATTGGTTCCCCATTTCTGGATGGTTTGGATGGCCTGACCTGCAATGGGCTCTTCATCTCGGACATTCCACTGCACGATGCCACCAGGGAGGTGATCTTGGTGGGCGAACAGGCCAGGGCACAGGATGGATTGCGGAGGCGCATGGACAAGATCAAGAACAGCATCGAGGAGGCCAATTCGGCGGTGACCAAGGAGCGTAAGAAGAACGTCAGCCTGCTGCATCTCATCTTCCCCGCCGAGATCGCCGAGAAGCTCTGGCTGGGCTCCTCCATCGATGCCAAGACCTATCCGGATGTCACCATCCTGTTCAGCGATATTGTGGGCTTCACCAGCATCTGCTCGCGGGCCACTCCGTTTATGGTGATCAGCATGCTGGAGGGTCTGTACAAGGACTTTGATGAGTTCTGCGACTTCTTCGATGTGTATAAGGTGGAGACTATTGGCGATGCGTATTGCGTGGCCAGTGGATTGCATCGGGCCTCCATCTACGATGCGCATAAGGTGGCATGGATGGCCCTCAAAATGATCGACGCCTGCTCGAAGCACATTACCCACGATGGGGAGCAAATCAAAATGCGGATCGGACTGCACACGGGAACGGTGCTGGCGGGAGTGGTGGGCAGGAAGATGCCCAGGTACTGCCTCTTCGGGCACAGCGTCACCATTGCCAACAAATTCGAGTCGGGCAGCGAGGCGCTGAAGATCAATGTCAGTCCCACAACGAAGGAGTAAGTACTTAACTATAAACTGCTTGCACTGCTTGCATTTCATTATTTTATTTGCCCATAACTTTTTAATGAGTAGTCTGATTTGAAAAAAATCTTCTACATTTTGAACGGTATTAATAAGCACAACAAAATTGCATTTCTACTTTTTCGAAATCTTTAAAGACTCTAGGAGTAACGGGTATAAATATTTTATAAAGAATGGTTGAATGGATCTACTTAGTTACCAAACTTATCATCATTATTTCTGTATTTTCCAGCTGGCTGACCAAGCACGAGGGCTTTGAGTTCGACCTGCAACCGCGGGATCCCTCGTTCCTGCCCAAGGAGTTCCCCAATCCCGGCGGCTCGGAGACCTGTTACTTCCTCGAGAGCTTCCGAAATCCGGCGCTGGACAGCGAGTTGCCGCTGGTGGAGCACATCAATGTGGCCATGAAGACCATTTCAGAGGGCGGAGATGCCTAAGAACCGGGATCTTCGATCCTTGAACCATAAAACCCAAACCCACACACGCTCAGTAGTCGTAGTTCGGTGCACTTGTATTGTGGTTTTGCCTGTTTGCCCCCGCTTAGCCTAATAAAACAATAAACTAACCGATTCGAATGATTGCATTCCAGCACAAGAGACGAACACACTTTATTTTTGTTTTTGGGTATAAATTTCGATCTTAGGCCGACTTCTTCTTCTGGGCCTCCTCCTGCTTGGCCTTCACAAAAGCCTTGACCTTGTCGCCAATCTTGCTGGCCATCATGCACTGGTGGCCGCGGAAGGCCCACACATCCGTGGGACTCTTCTGGGCATTGTCATCGATGCAGCTCTGGGCGATCTGGAGAGCCTCCTCCTCGGACAGGTCCATCTTGAACTGCTTGGCCAGGCGGTCGGCGTGGTAGCCCTGCTGGTCGCAGAAGATACCTAGCTTGGTGGCCGTGCAGGCCAGATACTGACGCACATCGGGCTCGTCGGGGAAGACCAGGTTCTTCAGCTGGGCAATCTGGTCGCCACTCAGCGGCGTCTCCTTTAGGCACTCCACGCGGATGCCGCGGATCTCCTCGCCAGTCTTGGGCGTCCAGTCATCGGCACGGGCCTGTTAAAAAAGCGGTGAAAATAATAGTTAATTCGCTGAATAAGTTTGAAATATATAATAACGTATTCTAAATCTCTACATTATTACTTAATATTAAAAGAAATATTAACATTAAGCTTCCAACTAAACTATAAATATAAAAATGATTTGTGAGGTTCTGGTAATAGTTTTTATAATAATAATTTTCCAATCGAACAAGAAATATAAAAAAAAGTACAAATATTTAATTTGACTTAATAGGTAATTACAAGTCGAGACCATTAAGTTAGGTTTTAAGCTTTTAGTCAGAAGAGATATTTATGATTGCCCCATTTTTCATTGAAATATTTAATGTTTTTATTAATTTATTTGTTCGAACAACAACAATGTAACGAATAAGCTCGTAATTCCCAAGTTGCATTGAATACACCTTTAATTATTCAAAACTGTAGTTGCGAAACGGCGAGAGAAGGTATTAATGCATAAAAATTATATTTATAATATTCTTAACATGGTGATTTTTAAGTTAAATAGATTTCACAGTTTTTAAAATATGTATTAACATAAAAATCTTTAGGTTATTTATTTATATATTTGTTTTATAATTGCATAAAGTTTATTTTGAATGCTACAGCAGTTTGCCTCCGTCACATTTTACACATATATTATATACGCAATATATTATACACACCACAGCGCAGAGGGCCAGAGCGACGATCAGATACTTGAGCATAGTGTAGAATATAGTTGCACGATCGCGGCGTAGTTGAGGTTCTGAACTGAAGCGCCGACGGCCAAGTGCCCGGCTTTATAGCTACGCCAACGCTAATCGGAAATCGCCGATCGCTCGATGTCTATATAGTATGTCTATGCTCTCCACAGATTCTCCGTGCCAAGAGTTCACCGGCTTATCTCTCCAGTCCAGTTCCCAAGCACATTGTCTAATTGCATTCCCCACAGCTGATAAGTCTGGAATGAAACAGCCCAGACTGGGACTGAAATCAATTGCTCGATTTGCTCAGCTCTATTTGCTATGCAAAACTTGTTTGTTGATTAACTTGTTTATTGAATAGATTTCTAGATAGTTCAGAGTTTACTATTTCCAACAGAGTGTTGAACCGAGATTTTATATTGCTCGCTGATAATGATTCACCTGATGAGTGAAAATTGAAAATTATTTCATGTTAATGAAACTAATTGTGCTCATGCCTATAAGTTATATGATGTAAGTTGAAACGAATCTTATGCTGATTAATGCAGTTTCATCTACACTTAAAGTTCTTTAAGTACAGTTTTCAGATGCTATTAAAATTCTAGAATAATTTAAAAGGAAAAATGGTAAAGCAGTTTAGAAAAAAAGAAAAGAAACATTAATGCCAATCGATTGCACTATAAATTAAAAATGTTTAACAATATAAAGGTAAAATACTTTACACTAAGACCAACATTTTTAAAGGTTTTACAAAAAAAAACGTTAATTTTTTCTTAGTGTTTTTAAAGTTTTGTTTTAATTTATGCTCAAAACAATACTATTTTATATTTCTCTGTATTAGCATTATGTAGATTGAAAAATCTGCCTTTCGGCATGAGATTGCACTTGACCCCTTATCAGTTCCATAATAACGTAGCCAAACCAAGCCAAAATTCCCCACATACGCATTCGTATGTTTACGTACATAGCTTATGGTGATAACAGGAGTCACCGGGCGCTTTCACCCATCTAAAAAAGACCGCAAGCAGCTCAATCCAAGTGGCCAACTGTCAATTCGACGGCCATTATGCAAGCCCATGCAATCGCATTTAATTAAATCAAATAAAATTCACAGCTGGCCGTCGAGTTCCGAAATTAAATTCGGCCTCAGGCGACAGAGAGATGTCATTACTATGGGATGATTTCGAGCACTATATGTAGTAAACCCGATGGTTTGCTGGGAACCACGCGCCCTTCAACTAATAACAGTTGCCTCAAAGGGGCGTACGGCTCTTCACAACTATTATTATACTATTCGAAAAGGAGGAGAGTCCTTAACTGGGGGTTAGATAGCAGGGTTAAAAAATAATAATAGAGAGCAGAGTTGGGTAGGTCGCAATCGGAAACAGTGTTTATGCGAACAGCCCAAAACAATGGTCATGATTACCATCGCTATAGAGTTCTCAATTTCTCTCCCCCGGCACTCTCTGTTTTTTTTTTTGTTGTGTTATTAGAAAAAATTATAAGAAATATATATACAGACAGTGCTGGGTGAAAATTATATTAACACCCTGAGCCAAAGTCAGGAACTGAATCTGTTGTTGGCTATCTCAAATTACCGTGTTGAGAATGGAAAATGGGATTGGAATCGGAATTGGGTTGGGGATTTAGATTGGAAAACTGCAGTTAACGATTACATAATCACCCTGTTGGAGGTGTCAAATGCTTGGCTGCCGGAATTCGCAATATTGTATAAATTGTGAGCTCCTTGAGCCATTTATTGTTTGAAATTCGAGTTTCCTGCTGTATTCGAAGGGAGAATGTGATATGATGTTTTTGTGTGTAAATTTTCGGGTATTTTATTCTATTTGGCGTGTGTCATATGAGAGGGATTCTGTTGGCCAAATCCTTTAAGGAAATGTATGGTTCTAGGAATTTATACTTGCACTGCTGTGGTCATAATATTAGCTAAAAACTTAAGTTTTGAGTTTGTAAATTTACATTTTGATTCTAAAATTGTTAAAGTATTTTCGTAGCAACACTCGTTATTATTCATTATTACAAATATTTTTAAAATCAATTAAGTTTTCACCTTTTTCAGTGCTATTTTTGCGACCACAACTGTGTTCATCTGCATGTGACACAACACAATTCTAGCAACTTGCCAGCAGAGAGATTTCAGTTAACAAAATGGCAGCCTAGCTAGCAAAGCATTCGCACACAAAGTTTCCTTGAACTTTTAACAAAATTTCACGTTTCCATGGGTTTCCGGTCGTCGTCTTCTTCTTTACTTTTTCCGCAAGAGGAAGACTTCCGCCGCAAGAAAAGCAAAATGTAATTTCATGGCTCGCTGAACGAATCCGAATACATGAGAGTTCAAAGTTTCACCTTTTGGTCCTGCAAGAGGAGTGAAAGAGAGAGCGAGAGAGAGACTGTCACAGGATGCTGGCAGGACTTGAAAGCGCAGGAAGTTATTTAATGAGATTTTCTTTGCGTCAAAGATAAGTCGAAGGAGCAATTCCGAAGCCTGCAATCTTGTAAAACAATATGCAAAACACGAGGGCGGGTGTGTTTCTGTATCTGCGATTGTTATTCTCGAGTTGGCTGAGCTGAGAGAGCTGAAAAGGATAAGCGCAGGACGAAGGACGAAGGACGAACGACAATTGTTGCACACACTCGAAATTAAATTAACTTTTTTCGACCCTGTCCATTTTGGAGTGCCGCCGTCGCCTGCATTGTTCAGAAAACAGAAAACCAACTGCCGCTGACAGTTCCAAGTTCTCGATTCTCGAAAAGGGGGAGATGTGGATGGTGGCTAACCCAGCAAAGGCCTCAAAGAACTAGAAACAATCAAATATTGGCTTGGGGTCGCGGCACCGGCACATAAAATAAAAAAGAAACCAATCCAAAAACCAAAAAACCAAAAAACCAAACACAAAGCAAACAAATCGCAATCGAAACGTATGAATGGGGCAATGACGCAAGGAAATCTCATTAGCCGCATGTCTTCAAGTTTCAGTTTTAATTTTGTACAATATCTCCATGTGTGTGTTTTTGGGTGAAAAGATCTTTCTTTTTTTTCGGGGGTCTTGATCAAATAATTTTGCGGCCACTGCATGTTAAATATTTGTCAACATTTTAAGGCACTTTTCCATTGTTCCCCCTCCAGATCCTCAGCTTGTGTTTTTTTTGTTTTTACCCACTGAATCAGAAGCAGTCGAGTTGGCCACTTGAGTTGTCCAGCCGTCGGAGTCATCAAAAGAGCAAAAGAGAGGTGGTCAAGTCAAGTCGAGACCCGGGTTAAGTAAAGTAGCAATGATCCCGGAGTGATTTCAACTTTCCTCGTCGAAGGGCCCTGCCAACGGCTACTTATTACACCGCTGCCAGCACATGCGTATCTTACATTCATGCCCGAGATCAGCGTTTCCTTTACTCGATCAAACTAAGGGGTTAACTAATGTTAAATACCCTTCTACAGCCAAAAAAAAATGTATATTGTATAATCGAGTAATATTGATAAAATACTAAATAATATATCATCCATACTCAGTAGTATTAAGTTATATACTAAATACCATAAAGTTCATATTTTATAGATTTATTTCGATAACTTAAGTTAACTTAATACTTTCCAAAGTATTATACTAATTAATAGTCCTCTTATTGATCCAATTTTGACCCTGAATAGTTTAGAAATAATGTTATTTAAAGATTTCTTAAATATTAATGATTTGAATTGATGCTTTATTATTTGGTTATTTAAAAAAAATATATATATCTATTTTGAAATTATTAAAAAGTGGTTATATTTTAATATAGTTTCTTTTAAAGAAAATAAGATATATGTGTTGTAGATATTGGAATTTCATATGAATAAGAAAAATTTTTTAAGAATTTTAAATATATAAAAATTATATAAAAAAACTTTTGATTAACCAAATGCATTCTATACAAAAACATCCTAATTTGATCATTAGCTTATCCCCTTTTTGCGATCTATGATTTTGTTTCCTTATTTCTGGCCTGCTAAGTAGGGTATTTATAATTCCTCAGATCTCATTTGATTGATTTCCATTTCTTGCTATGATTTTTTGTTGATTTCATTTCCATTGTTGTTGCCATGCTGGGCATGTTGCCTTGGCTGTTGATTATTATTGTGTGCCACTGTGTGCGCGCCTTATATTGTTTGTATTGGACCGCCGCCTGTTCACCCCCTCTCCCTTCCTTCACCACCTTCCGTACCGCCAATCCCTTCACCTCCCTCTCCCCATCCCCCTTCGCCTTTTGGGGGGCCGCTCAAGCGTGAAGAGAGCCAGCCAAGCCGACGACATAATGGACATGTTTCAGCTTTTGTTGTCGGCACTACACGGAAAACAACAATTGGGTATTGTTTACAATTGCAGAAATATAAAGTCAAGTATTTAATGTAAGCTATTTTTAAAGATTTATAATAAATGTGAGCATAGAATTATAGATATTATTATTTGTTTGAAAAAATCTTGTTGAAACCATTTTATATTTTTTAAAAGAAAAGAAGATCAAGTATTTTATAAAATATTTATTATAATTATAAACATAGAATTAAAGATATTATTATTTGTTTGGAAAAATCTTGTTCAAACAATTTTTTATTTTTTTAAAGAAAAGAAGATTTATTAACTTACCATAATCTGTGTATAATTTATGTAAAGAATTTTGTAAATTTATTTTCATTGCTTAAATATTCTTCTAGTTATTTAAAAGCTACTTCTGAAATATTTTTCCCGGTGCAGCAACAACAACAAAGTAAGTTGTCATCTCCAGCGCTGCTCAACTAATTTGCATATTTGGTCGCAGTAAAAACACTTTATAAGTGGCCACCCAGGGCAGCTGTCTGCGTGAGTGTGTGTGAGAGTATAGGTGTGTGTATATAGGCGTACTTTAAACAAAGTTAAAATGCGAGAAATTGGCCCTGCGCAAAACACCAGTAGCTCCACGGTAGCAGCAACTTCTAGCCATTTACTGTTGCCAACAACTGTGACCGGGCCAAAAAGGCGACTTCAGCGGAACTGGAACTGCCCCTATTTTGTATGTGTGTGTGTGTGTGTGTGAGTGCTCTAAGGACCTCCACACACACAGTCACAAACACAAGCGCAGACAGACTGGAAACTTGTTTCTTTTGGCCAACTTGTACAACATTGTTGCCGCTTAATGTTCTTCTATTTTTACAGTGTGCGTGAGAGCCAAGGCTCCTCCCCTTTGTGGGCGGGGTCTCCTTGAGAGAGAGAAACTCTCAGAGAGAGAGAGAAAGAGGCAGAGCATTTCCGGCGGAGAGCGACAGATTCAGGCGCGCGCAATGTCGCTGTCTCGTTTGTTCGCTACTCTCGCACACAGTTTGTTTCAATTGCAATTATTTTGTAACATTCCAATAGGCCAGGCCAACCCACCGCCCAGGAAGGAAAAAAAGAAAAACATATAAAAAACCTCTCATTCCAACGCAGCAGGATATCAACCACATTATGTAAAGGACTCTTTATGTAGAAAGCATTTGTTCCTTCTTTTTTTTATATTTTTTCTCGAATTCTTTATTGTTTCAAGTTTATAGCAAAATGTATTAACTCATATTCACATTTCATTGCTCACTGTATTTAATTATTAAATGTTTAAAAGTCTTACCAAAAGTATTAATCAAACCCAAGTGATTCTGAACTTATTTTAAATAATCTAATACACTAAATTATAAATACATTATTTGAATCTGCATTTTTGCGGATTGTGCATTTATTAAAATATTATAAACTTAAGGAAATTAGAAATTGTTTATCATTTATTAATTTATAATAGCTTAACTTGTTCAGAGAAAGGTTCAAAATGATTTAATTGAGATTAATTAATTAAATACAGTTTGAAACAACTTAAAAACGATAAACACAACCCTTAAAGAAAACCACTTAAGATGTTTTTTTATATCCTTATAATATCCTTATTCTTTCAAGTATAATAATAATAAGCAATTATTTGCTTACCTGCACTTCGTTCTTTTATTCATGGAGATTTTAGCACGCACTTCAGACATTTTTGAACAACTTCAGCTGGGAATGTGCCAAAAACCAAAGCGGAAACTTTTTAGTTTTGACAAAGTGAGGGGTAAATGAAATAGGGGTTAGGGTAAACTAGGTAACCTCTCCAAACAAAAAGCAACCTACAGTGTCAGTTGAGTGTGTGCGTGTTAGCCATGCCAACCAGCGGCGAGGTCGCAACAACAACGCTTTTGGTTGGCTATTCCATTAGTCCAAAGCCCAAAGCGAAAAGCGCTCTCACATTTGCTATATATGAAAAAAAAACGAAGAGGAAATTGTGAAACAAAGGCAACAAAGAAAATGAAAGAAACCCCAAACAACCACCAGTGCAGCACCACTAAGGCACCACCACCACCACAGTAGCACCACCACCACCATCGCAGAACCAACCAGTCGGCAGTACGAAGTGCTCTCCTCCCTCCACATTACTCATACGCCGCGTCGCCGCCTCGAGTGCACAATTTTGTATACAGTACCAAATTAGATTTGAAACTTTTTTCTTAATTGCCAGCAGCCCCTCTGCCGACGTCGACAGAGACAGAGACGCCGTCGCCGACGCAGGCAGCTGCGCCACACAAAGGTGGTTGCAACACTCTCTGAATCCCTGAAATCCTTGTACATACACACTTTGCAACCCTCGTTTGCCGAGCCGCTTTTGTATTGGTAAATGTTGCCGCTTGCCGCCATTGCTGAACGACGCCGTCGATGATTTTGCTGCTGGGCTGCGCTGCTCCATCGTTTAGGCCAAAAAGTTGAATCAGTTGCAATCGAATGCTCAGTGTGTCATGTCGTCAGCGCGCGTGGTTCTTAAAAATATGTCTCAGGTGTAAAAAATATATACAAAATCGGAATAAATTGTTTAAAAACAAGAAACAAAAATATTAAAAACTTATAATCAAAAACAAAGAAACCTTAACAAGTGAAGTGTGTGCTGGGAAGTTCATCGAAAAACTTCAAATAAATCTTAGATAAATCCCCACCATGAGTCTGCCGTCGGGTGTGGACATGCAGAATCTGATGTCGCAGCATCCGGTTTTGGGTGCCCTGCCACCTGCTTTCTTCCTACGAGCCGCCTCCGAACGCTATCAACGGACGCCCAAGTGCGCCCGCTGCAGGAACCATGGCGTGGTAGGTCCTTCGAATGGCTCTACCATCTGGAATTTTTTCTCAATTTTTCCCGAAACCCTTGCAGGTCAGCGCCTTGAAGGGCCACAAACGCTATTGCCGCTGGCGGGATTGTGTCTGCGCCAAATGCACGCTAATTGCGGAACGCCAAAGGGTTATGGCTGCTCAGGTGGGTCTCATATAGAAGATATAGAGGGAATTACCTACGCACAATTGGAAAAATTAAAAATAGAAAGATAATAATAACATTAAGAGTAAAAAATCGTAGCTCAATGATTAATATTGGTAAACAGGAAAAAAAATCGATATGAAATAGGATCAATTCTAACTTATTTATTTCTAATTAATTTATCTAATCTGTTCTTATTTTTCTTATTTTATATGAATGATATGAATAACTTGATCTTTAAACAACATGCAATTGACCAGCACATAACGATCTGATCTATTGTCAATTTCTTTTCCTTGTAAAAATATCACTAAATAAGGATCGAAAGAAAATAACACTAACATTTTCTTAGTTTGTAATAAGGGACAGTTCATAATTTGAATTTTATTATTTAGATAAAGCCTTTAATATTGATTTTTATATAAAAAAAAATTTTGAATGGAGAAGTAGATTTAGCAATAATATATCTATAAGAATAGTTAACAAGCTTCAAAATTGTATTTATAAGTTGCTAGACTGGGGCTTCAGAGTAACCAATATTACACTCCGCTGATCAAAGATCCGTTTTCCGCCATTTCCCTCTTTCTTACAGGTGGCACTCCGTCGCCAGCAGGCCCAGGAAGAGAACGAGGCCCGCGAACTGGGCCTCCTATACACCTCCGTTCCTGGCCAACAAAATGGCAGTGACAGTGCCACGCCCACACCGCACAGCCCTAATCACAGCGGTGGCAGCGGTGGTTCCGCCAGCGGAGGATCCGGCCAGAATGGCGTCTTTCACGGCGGCATTCCCTCGCCACCGAGCGACGGCTTCGAGCCCAGCTCCACTCCCAATCATCACCAGCAGTCGCAGCAGCAACAGTCGCACCACCAGCAGCAGCACAGCCACCAGCACCCGACATCCCAGCGATTCAATGGCAACGAATCCGACACGGATCTGCGCACCCGTTCCGAGCACCTCAGCGTGGGCTTCTCGCCCACGAGAACCGAGTTGGACGAGAGTCCCGGTAAGTTCAAGAAATAATATTACAAAGATTACACAGTGAACAAAATGTGTGCTCGTGTTTGAGAATAACGAAAAGAAATAGGTGGAAAATGTATAGAGAAAATGTAGAGTGACCAATTTGGATACTAATAAAATAGGACCCCAAAAAAACGGGTAGTAGGAACTGCAGCCTAAACGGCTAGACATAAAAATCTAAATCCAAAATCCGAAATTCGGCAATAATTATTTATATAAAATAATATAAAAACCTATGTTACATACCCTTGAAAATCCGTCGGCATCACAATCTTCTTTAAAAGCCCTTTACGCCTGGCCTCTTCGCCAAGAGTTGTTCAAAATCTTTGGGGCAGGGGATCCAAGTTAAAAGCGCGTTAAGAAAAATTTGTTTTCGATTGTTAAAAAGCCAGCGGTGCATAAAGTGCCACACTCGCGGTTGCAGCTGCACATGTGAGCAAGTGGCGAAGTGGTGCTAGTGTGTGGGGCGTAGGTGTTGTTTTGACAAAGATTTAGCCAGCCAAGCTGCAGTCCTGCACTTTGCCAAACGGCGCGTGAAAACGTTGGGGTTGCGATCAAGTTAAGTTAACGGGGGACCCAGGACATTAAGGAGCTCAAATTGCAACAATTAAGTTAAAGTCCTCGTTACGAAGTCAGTACTTCATTTGTCACCCCATTTATAAGGTTTTTAAAAATAATAAAGCGAGGTTTTAAAGAGCAAAAAGTGTAATTTACAGAGTTTCAAGAAATTTATTAGGAAAAAATAATAAAATAATAGCTATAGATATCAAAAAACACTTGCGTAATAAGAATACTTCCCACATAGGTTGTTTATTAAAATCATTCGGCAACATCAGCCTTTCTTCTATTCTTTTCCATACAAATCGAAGCCTCTCAAGAGCTAAACAAAAAAGGTTATTGTAACATTATCCAATATTATTTGGTATTATCCGCAATAAGCCAATCAATTCCTGGCAGATCATCTCAGGCGGATTGCCTTACCAGCCCAACTCCATAAAATGCCAAACAGTTACAAAGTCTGTCAAGGATATCAAGACCTTTCTTCGACCTCACCCACTCATTAGGTCTATCTGTTGTCCTGGGGGTTAAAAAACCCCATGCTGAGGGTCTTGGCAGGGCAGAGTAACGTGAGATACTTCCCCCCGTGTCCCACCTCACTTGTCTTTATTTGTTTGCCCTTTTAAAGGATGGTGTTTTCTTTTTTTTCTGCTCGAGAAAGAAAAACACACCAGGATTCTCACGCGAATCAATCGAGAAAACCTGTCCATTTAAGTACTAGACTCTTTATTTGCAATGAAATCCAAGACGATTTCACGCTTGAATTTTTATTTTTCGGCTACAGAGAATTCACAGTATTGGGTATTGGTATCCACGCACCCTCGACTTAATTAAATTTTCACTGCGGCTTCGTCAACTGCAAAATCAAACAGACAAAAAAATATCATATAGCTTGTTTCATTTGTGAAGAAAAAACAGCAGGTTGTCCCTCGTTGGCATGTCAACGCATCCTGATCTCCCCACTCCATCGTCCACCACTTTTGTTTGTTTGCAATGCCCCTGATTACATTTTTTCCCATTTCTACATTTGATACTTTTATTTGCTCTGAACTGCCAAGTGGAAAACCGCACAGTTTCCTTCACTTGCTACCTGATTCACTCGCTGATGGGGAAATCGATATCAGAGTTTGGGAAAACAACTAGATAGGGGAAAATTGCTTAATTCGTAGGAGAATTAGGAAAATGAGAATGTAAATTATAGAAATAAAACAAGAGAGAACGCTATAGTCGGGTTGTTGTCCCGACTATCTAATACCCGTCACTCAGCTAAAGGGAGTGCGAACGCTGTGTCGGGTTGGTGTCCCGACTAATAATCGTAACTCAGCTAAAGGGAGTGCGAGGGAGATAGATATATAATTTTTGATTGCGTATAACTTTTTAATGAATGGTCCGATTTGAAAAATGTCTTCTACATTTCGATAGGTATAAATATACACAACAAAATTGCATTTATACTTCTCGGAAATCTTTAAAGATGTGGGCGCAGGACCCATTTTAAAATCGTTAGTGGGCGATTGTGGGCGTTAGAGGGGGCGTGGCGCTCGGCTAAAATAAACTTGCGCTGCGTAGGAAGCCAAAGAATATGTGTGGGAAATCTCAACCTTCTAGCTTTTGTAGTTTCTGAGATCTCAGCGTTCATACAGACGGACAGACAGACAGACAGACAGACAGACAGACGGACAGACGGACAGACGGACAGACGGACATGGCTAGATCGACTCGGCTAGTGACCCTGATCAAGAATATATATACTTAATGGGGTCGGAAACGCTTCCTTCTAGCTGTTACATACTTTTGCACGAATCTAGTATACCCTTTTACTCTACGAGTAACGGGTATAATTAATATGCTTTTGTGATTTCGTTTTTATGTTATACCCTTCCTCTATTTTATTTAATATTTATTTGAACTCAAAAAATATAGGGTGATAGAAAATATCAAGTAGAAACTAGTGGCAGATTCAGAATTGGATTGTGGGGGGAGTTTTTTTCACATTTCCTTTCATATTTTACCCTAGTGGTATGGAGATATATTAGATCTTGAAAATTATCTTTTTTTTTTATATTTTGACTATATCGATTCGATAATATCAATGTTTTAAAGGGAAACACACAAATTAAATATTGATAAATAGCCAACTTTCCATATTTTTTATTCTTTTATCAGAAATTTAAGAGCTAGAAACCCTTTTATTAAATAATAATTAGTTTTTCAACTGTTGACTAATTTCCACCCCTTCGCTCTTATTTTTTCTTGCAGTTTCCAAGCGTGGCGCCGCCTTGTCCAACGAAACCGACCAGGACACGGGCTCCGAGTCCGGGTCACCGAGCAGTCCGCGGCCCAAGGTCGCGGGCCTCTTCAATCTGACCGCCAGCTTGTCGCCCGCCCGCACAGGACCGCCCAGCTCGCCGGAATCCGATTTGGATGTAGATTCGGCGCCCGATGAGGCCACCCCCGAGAATCTGAGTCTCAAAAAGGAGGACAGCCAATCGCCACCGAATACGCCCGCCGAGAATCTGCATTTGCTGCGATCCTTTGGCAGCAGTCATGCCCAGGGTTTCCTGCCATATCATCACACGCAGTTCCTGGCTGCCGCCGGTTTGCCCGCCCACCACCACCCACCGGCGCACTCGCCGCACCACCAGCAGCAGCAGCAGAACCACCTACCACAGCACCACCAACAACAGCAACAGCAGCAGCAACAACAACAGCAGCAGCAACAGCAGAGATCTCCCATCGATGTCCTCATGAGGGTTTTTCCCAACCGCCGGCGCAGCGATGTGGAGCAACTGATGCAGCGATTCCGCGGCGATGTCCTTCAGGCCATGGAGTGCATGTTGGCTGGCGAGGATTTGGGCCAGACACCGCCGCCGCCACAGGTGCCGCCCTCGCCGCCCTTTCCCATGAAGTCGGCCTTCTCGCCGCTGGTACCGCCTTCCGTGTTTGGATCGCCCACCCATCGCTATCATCCCTTCATGCAGGCGCATGCCAAGCGGTTCCTCACGGCTCCCTATGCTGGAACCGGATATCTGCCGGGAGTCCTGAGTGCGGCGGACATAGAGCAGTCGGAGTCGAATGGAGCGGGGGGCATAGGCTTGGATCGCACCAGCAACGCCGGGGATTCCCAGGATTGAGGCAGCGAGGTGGCCGTTTTCAGGCCTTTCGAGTAGAGCGCGAAAATGATCGATATTTTCGATATTTTAACAATATCGATGTTTTCAAGGGAAAACTCCTTTTAAATATCGAGAAATAGCAAACTGCCGATAATTTTTCAAGCTCTACTTTCGAGTAAGATCCTACACTGCGGGAAAAAAGAAAAACCTTCCAAATTAAAGTATGAAAAGGTCAAAAAGAAGGATTACTTATGGGTTTTTCCTATTATTTACAATCATTTGTTTTCAATCAAAAAGTGTAATTTTTATTTCTGGATTAGTGATTCACTTTTTGTAAATTTTTCCCCAGTGTAAGTCCCCGTTTGGTCCTAGCTATGCCTAAAAAGTAAAAGTGTAAATTATATTTACCCCTGAAATTCTAGCCCAAGTATTGTAACATAGAAATCGTAATAATAATAATAATATGTTTAATGAATTAAAACCCTAAGAAAACCATACACTCGATCCCAGTTAAGAGCCATAAGATGTATTTGTTTAGCTAAAATTAATGTAATACTTGAGATGAGATTATTGTGTAAGGATCTGTTTTGATTGCAACCATATAAATGTGTACCATATAAATACGAGCATATATATTATATATATTAAATATCATATTATGTCCTAGATAAAGTACATTTCAAACACTGTGTTAAAGTATTTAATAAATCTACGAAATAATTCAATAAAATTAAATGAAGCAATTACATGGTTTTGGATTTTTATTGGGAAATTATAGGGTGAATATTTAAGATTGGAAATTATACGAAATTTAAAGAAAGTTGTTTAAGTTGTTAAAAGATAACAAAGAAGCGAATATATGATCAAATAAAGATACAAAATTTATTTCACTACTCAGGATTACATTTTTGAAATAGTCAAATAATATTTCAATTGTTTTGCTAACCGTATAATTCCTCCCCTTATTGTTCTCAATGGCTTAGAGCCTTCTCCTAATGCCTCACTAATCAGATCAATTAATAAAAATATTTAATGTAAAACTGCCATTGTTTGGCTATCGTCCGAGGCCCAAGGGATGGCTAAGTAAATATTTAATTTTCACAGCACGTAATTTATAATCGTGAGAAGTTGGCCCCGAGAACAATGGACTGCCCACAAATACAACCCCCAACAAATACAAAACTAGTGCAATTATAGAGGCCACCCACGAGTCGAAAATTCCCAATTGGTCATCACAATGGACGATGGCCAAAATAATAATGCGAAGCGTTAATCCGTATCATCATTATCTATTTGCCACTATTTTGAGGGCAAATGCCACACGACCCCCAAAATGCCAGGGAAAACTAACCGGGAAAAGTGTGAAATCCTTTCACACATAAACGGGTCGAGCTGTTTTTGTTTTGCCCATTCGGACACACGACACGATAAACAAAATTATAATAAAACTAATGCCCACACGAACGCACACACATGACCAGCACATTTGCAGAAATTTTACAATGGCCAAAGGACCAAAAGGACTCGACGAATGGACAATAATATCGGTTACACACATGCCGAGTGCAAATTACAAAACTATTTTCCAACATGCGACTGAATGGATAACAAAATTAAATTATTGGATATCAATTTGTCCATTGTGCGCCTTGCCTTGCCAAACTCGAAAAGTCAACAGCAACAAGGATATGGCCAGGATATGTGTGGCCAGCTATATCCCACTCCCAATACCATTTCCATTTCCCCCCTGTATTTATGTGCCCAAAACCGAACAATAGCCTCTATGTACCATTGTCAGGGACCAACAATGCCGGTGGGTTAGGATAGCGCAGCCACAGGATCCTCAGCTCGAGTGGACAATGGCCGGCACAAAGGCAGAAAGGACGAGCAGGACGAACAGGACGAACAGGACGAACAGTCAGTCAGCCGCTCGTTGGAGGACGAGCTGTCGATAATATCTTAGAGTAGCAGCGGCCCATGTAGTTATGGACGAACAATGAAGCTGGAGGAGAGCCAAAAGTGGATATGTTACTTTGGCTCTTTTCTGGAAAGATAAAACTATATTATTTTCCCCTTTTTTATTAGTTTTTTTTAGGGATTTTTTAGAATGGTTTTGAAATAAAAGATCACAATAGATCACACTACTAATTCATTTTTATTTTTTAACTTTTTGCTTTAATTTCAAACACTTTTAATTTTTCTAATATTTATTTTGCCTATTTTAAAAAAATTCTAAAATCGGACTTTACATTAAAACGTTATCAGCAAATAATGCATTTTCCGATAGATGGCGCCACTTTCAAGCGACTGCTTGCTTTGCTGCTTTCAAATCTTTTTCTCTCTCACACTCATTCAGCTGAGTAACAGATATTTGATAGTCGAGGTACTCGAATAAAGCGCTCTCTCTTTTTTTACTAAGGGCCGGTTTCTCGAGTGCCGGCTAACATTTCTCGAACAGATAAAGTCCCTGCTAAGGCATTTTGGCTTTCTCGAGCATAAATGTGAGAGCTAACTTTGACAGGGACTCGGAGCCCCTGTTAAGCGTTTTCGACTCGATAGAATGACAGCTGATTTCCCAAAGCCAACTATGAAGAAGAAACAAAATCACAGCTGACTTTTCCTTTAAATTATACCCAAACAGCTGATGAAATAATCGAAGCATGCCATTTTTTGCGCTTTACAGCACAATTCTGTGCGTTAACAGCAGTCTGTAATTGTTTCTCGTTCAGATAAATTAAAGCAGTCGAGAAAGCGGATTTGCTTTTACGAACAGTTTATCTGGTATTTAAGTTTTTCGAACAGATAGCTATCAGGGACTTTGACAGGGACTCGAGAAACCGGCCCTAAGTCCCCTCTTTTTGGAGCTCTAAAAACTAGCTAAAAGTCCAGCACTGGTCTCAACCAGGAAACAGGAGCAAAAACAGAGGCAGCAGGCAACATGCATATGCTCCTCGAGTGGCGGCACAAAATGCATACAATGTCAGGCATGGAAATTCTTGATAATAGACAATGAATTAATAGCAGGCGATTACCAGAGGGGGTGACACTGAGCTACCAAGCCAACAAACAATCCAAACCAAACCCATCCTGGGAGCAGTAAAATGGAAAACCGACCAGCAAATAGACAGATCGAACCTCAGATACAGCCCAAAGGCAATGGGAACAAAGTACAAAAAAAGAAAGAAGAAATTGCAGGAGATATCCTAAAAAGGGGTTTCTGATGGCAGATGGCACATGCCTCTTGCGGCCTCCAGAAGTGCCGTCAATTAAAAAGCAAAGAAACGCCCAAGAAGTGGCCCACCCCAAGACCACTAAACGATTGCCGCCCAAAAGGGTTACTTAACAGCTTAGGATTAACGGGGGCATATGTTTTTCCTGGCTAATTCGAGGGTGGTCCGCTGGAGATTTCCCTTTTCCCCCCGGGGCATTAGTTTCACTTATTTGTTATTATTTGCTTTTCCACATTTCGGATGTGGAAGACGAAGACCCATGATCACAAGATGCAGCTACTCATTGGGCAATGTAACCCAACCTGCGGCTTGTCAATCGGAGGGTCAGAGGCCATATAGCAACAACTAATTTGGCAGTCCCCCCAAAAAAAACGACTCCTCTCCCCTCAGAAAATCCATAAAAAACGATGCTGTTTTGTTTTTCCAACAGACAGCGCGGGGAAACAGCCGAAGGATGAGTGAAAAAAAAATTAGAAAAGAAAACAAATGCCATTTCAAGTAGCAAACGTGTAAAGTAGGTGGCCAGACCTTTTTGCCGGGGCAGAAAAATACAGTGGAATTGTTATAGAAATATTGTTAAACTAATTTAAAATAATCTAATTAATAACATTTTTACTTTGATCAACTTAGTAAACTTAAATCATACGGGGATCCTCGAGGTGAAAAGTAAAAGACAATGAGGTATTTAAAAAGTTCGCAACAATAAAAATGTTATGTAAAATCGTTCATTTAGAACATACTTTAGTTGGCTCGAATCATACGCGAATCCATATGGTGAAAAGTGAAAGGAAATGTGGTATTTAAAAAGTTAGCTACAAAAAAAATACATCCCATTTGAAAAAATGATTATTTTTGTTCAGAAAGTTTTAAAAAATATTATTATTTTTTTGTAATTTAGTGTGAAAACTTAAAAGATTAAAATATTATACGTTAATATTACTTAGAAAATTTCTGAAAATATTTAAAAGATCTCTGGAATTAACTGTGAGGGAAAGGGAAACATTTTAATTTTAATGAAATCAACAAATTTAGAAACCTAAATAAATCCTAAACCACTGTTTCTGCATTTTTTTTTTGGGCTGGGGGCAGTTTGTCAGTCAGTCACCGTCACAGTCACAGTCGGCTAATAAGCAGAGAGTCCATCAGAAATAGTGAAACCTGCGCGCTTTGTTGGGCAACTGCCAAAACGATGAGAAATCAATTTTTTTGGATTCATTTCTCGGATCGCTTGGGTTTGTTTTGCTTTTGATTCTCGGGTTGTTAGTTGTGTTTGCCGCCCAAGCAGCCAACACATGATACGACCATTTGAGGTCCATGTGCGGATGGGCACCACATATGATTTAATACAGTAGCTGGGATGGATGCCTAATGGCTCACCCCGAAGACCTGTTCTTTGATGCACTCACTCTGCGTTTTGTTTACACAAAATTCATAATTTACATATTGGTGGTGTGTGTGTTTTTGTACCGATGATTTTTTACATTTGCTCGGGGGCCTGTTCTTCGATTCTTTTTATCCCAGCCGACATGTCAAAAATTCGGGGGCCCCCTCTTTAGGGAAATATTTGTCGCAACTGTACCTTAGGATATTTTTAAATGATTTTCCAAAAACCCACCCAAACCACGGGAGTTAAGAAGCAGTGCTAAATGGTTTTTAAATAGCGTGGGATGAAATCGGGGTTGTTGCACTCCATTGTTTGCATATCAACGATCCTCGTCAAACGTTTTGATTTTGGTTTTTGAACTGCGTAAATGTCACGTGTAGTCTGCGGTTGACATCGACGTGTGATTCTGGAAGAGGAAGCGGTAGTGGTTGGGTGGTGCAGTGGTTCAGTGGTTCAGTTGGGGTTAACC